ACATATGATTCGTGATCTATACGCTGGTGCCAGTGTGTCTTGTCCGTGTATCTGTCTGTGTGAGTGCAGGTCGTTACTCGAAGCTCCCGTGTTCTTATCTTCATCTCGGACAAACATGGTAACCGGAGGTTTCTACTAACTTGCAGCGGTGGCTACGGATTTTTTGGGGCGCGGGCTGTGTGCCTTGGCGCTGCCATACTATGGTCTACTCGGATCGGCGGGGTACCTGAGCGTGAGCGTCTCGGGTGGTATCTCGCAGGAACCGGGTGTGGGGTGGCGTGATCGTCTTCCTCGACTTCAAAGGTGAGTGGGCGGTAGTGGGCTTGATCTGCGCTTCGGAAGACCGAGCTTCGACGAAGTGAGCGTGATCGTCTTACTTTGTGGATTCAGGATCTTGGTAAATGAGGGTCACGTTGAGAAGAGTATTTCTGTTAGCAAGTGCGGCGGTACAAGGGCTGGTAATATTGGCAAGTCTGGCGTGTCTATCTGGAGGCTTCGGAGTTGCTGGGAAGTATTCGGGTAACGAGCTATTAGTCGTAGTGCGCATTTCGGTTGAGTGGAGAAAGAACGTAGGGGATGAATAGGAACTTTAGAGAAGAAGAGTTGGATAGGCAGTGGCAGGACGTAGATAACTTGGTGTATGATAAGGTGGTGCCCCTGATCTTCGTAGCTTTAGAGTTCCCGAACGAGAGTACGAAAGAGGAGTTAGTTTGCATTCTCGAGAGATTTTTGGGGAGGCTGTATAGCGTAGGGTGCATCGTGAGGGATAGGAGAAGGAGGAGGAGAAGGGCTAATAGGAGGACGAATCATTTAGCATAGGAAGATGCAGAATCCGAGTTATCCCGTAATGGCGGGAATGGCGAACGAGGTGCCCCTCAGTGGAGGGAATACGCAAGGGGGGGTGACGTATCATATTTGCGGGAAAGTCGGGCATTACGCCCGCAATTGTTGGTCTGCAGGGAATGGGAGGCTGACAGCTGTCGCGGTACAGACGGGTGTATCCGATGATGAAACAAAGGAGATGCGCGAATACTTTAGAGATAAAATTAGAAAAAGGAGGTTAGATGAGGAGAGGAGGGAAGAGGGAGAAAGAGGACGCAAAGAAGAAGAAAATCGGAAGGAGTTAGAAAGAATGAGGGACGCGGACGCAAGGGAGGCAAGGTTGGAGACACGACTGGTGCGATTGCTGGCACAACATACGAAGACCAGCACGCCACCGGAGTCGTCAGGTGTGAAGAAGAAGTCCCCCAGAACCAAAGCAAGAGTTATGAGGGAAATGCGGAGTTATTTTGACGAGTCCGATGATGATAGTGAGGAGGTGAGGGAGGAGGCAGGGAAGTTGGTGGAAGCTATGGAGAAGAGGAAAGGAAAAGGCAGAGCAAAAGTAACGGAGGAGAGATGGCCGAAGGTAAGAATAGGAGGAAGGGGAGATCGTGAAGAACTAGTCAAGTTGGAGGATGAGGAGGATCGGACACCTCCGCCGAATCATAGGACCGATGAACGAGATCCGAACATCCTGTATTTTGCGATTGAGCTGCATCGGCATTTATCAGAGAAGAAGGTACCTGAACTCCGGAAACTATGCAATCGTGAAGGTATTGAGTGGTCGAAAAGGGATACCGTGATTGGGGAACTTGTGAAGTGTAAGGCAAAACTGGCCTACGGTGATTTCACGGAGAACGTACGAATTTACGATTTGTTTGAGAAGTGATGGAGGTCAGTATGGACCACCTTCGTACGGAGATGCTGGCACGAGGTAGGCAGATGTGTGGCGGGAGAGGGAGGCTATATGCGGCGCAAGAGGATCGATTGTTTCAGATGTTTCTCCTGTGTGTGATTAGGGGGGAGTGCGCATGGGCAAGGAAATGGGTGGGTTTTGTGAGCAACAATAGAGACGACGCCACCACGAGCAAGCCGGGGGTGTACGTGTTGGTGAGCCCGTGGTGCCGTCATTTCTACATCGGATGCGCGAAACGTAAGGTGATTACTAGGTGGTCTGATCACGTGAATCTGGTAGATAAGGGCGATGTGGGGAACTCCCCTAAATTACACGCGTGGCTCAAAGTCTTTGGGTGGAGAAGGTATCTGGTGATTCCCCTAGTCGAAGGGGAGGGGGATCTGCAAAAAGTTGAGGGAGATTTGATTAAGAGATTCTCCCCAACTTTGAATACTCAAGGGAACAACAGTGAATGTAGACGGATAAGGAGGAGGAGGGGAAAGCGGGAAAGAGGAAGGAGAACGACATATCAGATCGGCGGATCAGTGATCAGATTTAATGGGAGACCTTCCATCATTGAAGTACTGAAGGAGAAGGTAGGGAGATGCGTTATTGTGTCATCTGGAGGGAAGATTTGGGTAGATAAGTGGAAGACAGTACGAAGGAAGTTGGGAGAAACTACGATCCTCGTGGATCAAGTTGCGAAACCGCTAAGACTCTGCAGGAAGCTTCTGGAGGCGAGAGGATCTTACCAGTTAGAGAGGATTCGTGTGCTCCCGTCAAGTGTCGAGCACAGGAAGTTCGTTTTGAGGGACATCCTCCGACAACCATGGAGAATACACGATCTCTACAAGATATCTTCAACGGAAGTTATTGCGCTATTCCGAACCGCGTCGCTTTTTCATGACAAGATAAGCAGGAACCGCATCAAGACCGTTGTAAGCAAGGTGGCGAGAAAAAAGTTTGGATGCGAGATTCGGAGGAGACCGTGTGTCCAGATCCCTTTCTCGTCAGGGATTAGGCTGGGGATAGTGAGGCAGATTACAGCAGGACTGATTGCTCAAGTTGTTCCAGATCAAGCACTGGGTCACTTTGTATCGAACAAGGTGAGGGTGGTGGTTAAGAAGAGGAAGACGGTGGGGATGATCATTCATAACCACCGAGCATGCGCGAGTGAGGAGGAAGTTGGATGTACGTGCCAATCGCTTCGGTTACCAAGGCATGAGGGCCATGTAAAGGTACGATTGTCGGAAATAGAGGGAATATCCGCCTTTATGATGAACTCGAACAATGTGATGTGTGGGATTACGATCTCTCCGCATGCTCTGGAGACATGTATGAGACGGGGAATTGAAAATTGGGCGAAAGGGAAGATCATCCAGGTAGATCGAGAGGATATTGAGAAGTGTTTTCGCAGGGGGAAGACGGGAGGATCCGGAGCTATGACGACGAACGTGGTACGTGCCGCGTTTGGAGGACTTAGCAAGCTTGTGGCAGTTCCCATCGACCGGAACCCAGGAGTGTCGCTGATTCTGTGCCCAGTCCTATACCTCAAGGCATGTAAGGACACATTCAATCACAATCCAAGATTCCAATTAGTGGCACGTACGGAAGACCAGGTTCTACGCACTATGAGGGAGGACTACACTAGGAACGGGCTGACGAAGGTGGCGAGGTGGCAATCAAGAGGGAGGATGGGCCAAGCTTACGTCCTTCCTAAAGATAAGGACATTGGGAGATGGAGGCCAATATCCCCATGTACGTTCGATCTAGCGAGGGTAGCAGCAGCGAGGATAGGCAAGGCGATCAGATACATGTTGTTTGGCCTACCAAAGAATCATCATTTTGATTTGAGATCGACCGAAGATTTGGGGAAGAGGTGCGGGGAGGTAAGGAGTGATATGAGTCGAAGGTATGACGGAGCGATCGCTCGGAGTTATGATATCAAGGATATGTTCTCCAAGCTCTCACATGAGGTCATCGTAGAGGCGGTCGATTGGTTGATTGCCTATCACGAAGGAAGGGGAATGAGAGGAGTGAAGGTGGGAGTCAGGGGGAAGTTGGTTGCCATGGTGAGGAGGGTGCGAAAAGAGGATGGTATGGTGGCTGTATCTTTGGAGGATCTACGGAAGGAAGTTGCGTAAGAGTTATCGAACTCGTTTGTCCGATGCGCGGGAAAGTTGCTCGCACAGCGGTTTGGGATTCCTATGGGGAGGAACTCGAGCCCTGCGCTGGCATGTTTGGTGTGCGCGAAAGCCGAATATGAGTATATGAATCGAGAACAGGAGAGGAGGTAGTTAGTTAGGGGAGTCAGGATGATTGACGACGTAATGGTTATTATTGGCTTCAGACGGAGTGCTGCAGTTTCTTTGGAGAGAGTACCGCTCTTTTTGAGGAATTCGAGAGATGTTATGACGAGAATCTGGCATTGGTGTGCAAGGATGAGGGGGGCAATGTTTTTGACTTTCTGGGCACGCGCGTTATTGTGAGCTTCCATCCCGTTGTGATTGACGTGATTCCTAGAACAAGGAACCAGCAGAGTTTAACGGAGGATGGGACTTTGAAGGTGCAATCCATACAGGATTTTGCTTCATTTACCCAGAAGGCGGCAAAGAAGGCAACCGTGTATGCTGCACTATTGAGAATGAGCAGGATCTCCACGACGTTTGAAGGAATGAAAGCGGCCATCGCCGCTCTGATGATGGAAACGCGCCTCCGGGGTTACACCCCGGAGGTCTCTCTCGGGGCGCTGGCAAAGTTTGCGAGGGTGTCCGGTGGTCCGTGGGGAGTTTATCTCCCTAACGAGTACCCCGGACTGATCAGGTTCCTGTGATGAGGGGGGTGTATGATATGTATATTAAGGGAGGAGGGAGTAGGCTCCGTTGGCCCTTTTTTTGTGTGTAAGCGTCCGCATTAGCAGCGGACCACCATTTTGCTAATTTTCGGAATTATCATGTTTTTGAGAACCCTTCGACATTGTCCTTTTTTAAAAAAGTTCGTTTTCCGGATCTTATTTTCACACTGTCGCCGTGGGAAAGGCGGAAAATTTTTTGAATTCCGAGTATGCGCAAGTACGTAGACCAGGTGTTGGCAGATAGTATGTGAGGAAATACGGTACGACGGAGGGAGGGAAACGAGAATGCAGTGAGGGTGAGGCAGAGTTGGAAGAGGTACCGGATCAGTAATCCGAGGGGCCATTTTTGGGTACTAGCGTTCGACCTTCGTTGTCAGCACGAGCTATGGAAGTAGAAGTAGGAGAGACGGGGTAGGGGGCAAGGGAAGAGTTTACACTAAAAATGGGAGTGCCAGACCTTGTATTCGGGACGAGATAGGATTGACAAGCAAAGGGGCAACAGATGGGAAGAAGGAGAAGAGTTTTCTCGGACCGATTGTGACCCAGACCAGAAGTGGACGGTTTGGAAGGGATTGGGAGAACGGGGCTAGGATGAGTAGAGTAGGAGGGTAGGAGAACGGACGAGGGACGAATTGGAAAGAGGGAGAATGTATGTGTAGGGGAGAAAACAGGACAGTTAGCCTAGCAACTAAGTAGGAAGACACAGGCAGCAGTAGTAGTAGTAGGGGAGCGAGATTGCGCATAGACTATATAAGCAGCAGCAAGCCGATGAGAGAAGACATCTCGGATCAGTTATTCGGYGTTGGGTTTTTCTTTGGTTGCCTCCTGATGAGTTCGCCTTTGTACGCAGGCGATGAAACACGTAGAGGTGGAGTGCGTATGGGTTGGGTTGAGAGTTTTTTGAACTAAAAGAGTACATATGATTCGTGATCTATACGCTGGTGCCAGTGTGTCTTGTCCGTGTATCTGTCTGTGTGAGTGCAGGTCGTTACTCGAAGCTCCCGTGTTCTCATCTTCATCTTCATCTCACACACACACACACACACACACACACACACACACACACACACACACACACACACACACACAGATGATATCGAGCGGTGAAAGGAGCCTTGAGCCGCGGATGTACTGCAGATACCTCGAAGAAGAAGAAGACCAGTTATGGCTAGCGGCAGACCTCTAGGATATGGTGCCAGGTGAGTGAACTCCTTCAAGCTCACCTTCGTCGTCTACGCTGCTCTGCACCTCTAATGCTAGGCTCCTCTACCATCACCAGCACTGGGCTGCTCTACTCTGGCAGCCTGGTGGCTCACGAGTGAAGTGAACTCTACCTGCCAAATGCTAGGCCGGCCTATCACCAACGCGGCCTCCACTCTGGGCCGTCCCATCTACTCAAGGATCCAGCGGTGCAGATGAAAGGCTGCATGAAAAGCCCAGTCTGTACTTTATCAGCCGCAGGACCTCCTCTGTGCTCACACGGATTCGAACAGCCGCCCTCAGCCTCAAGAGCCGAGTTTCGTAACCACTACAGCCATGGCACGGTGTGCAAAAGTGGATCGATGCCGCCCGTGATATCCACCCCACCCCTGCATGGCTGTAGTGTCCTTCATCTCACACACACACACACACACACACACACAACACCACACAAAGGCATCCGCCACAGACAGTAGTCACACACACTGCTCCCATCCAACACAACTGCTTATCCAACGGTTTTATCCACAGGCCACACATCCAGGTATAATTTCCAGGCTGGTTACGCGGTCAGAGTACAGTCTGTACTTTATCAGCCCCAGAACCTCCTCAATGCTTGCATGGATTCAAACCGGTGCCCTCAGGCCCAGGCCCAGGCCCAAACGTGTGGCCTGGGACTCAGGCTTGGATCCAGGCCCAACCATGCAGAATCAGCAGTACAGCCAAGCAGAAAAAAACGGCGAGACACAAAATCTGATCCTGGCCCAGCCTAAAAAACGGGCTGGCCCAGTAGGGCATGATATTGGCTGAGAGTGGACAAAATGCTCCACAACTGGCTCCAGAACAAACAAAATGCTCACACGACTGCCGGTCATCAACAGCAAAGCAAGGTATGCTAAGGGCCTCGCCACACCAGTGTCAAAACTGTGAATTTTTTGCCAACTGTCAGACCATTTTCGACATTCACGGTTTCGACACAAAGGCCCCCTTCGCCACACTGTATGTCGAAGACCCAGGATAAGCAAAGTTTCGTTGTTA